ATATTGGGATTAGTCTTTATGTTATCAGCTTGTTGTCATAACGTTCGCTTATAGAATATATAATTGACTATAGCTATATGTAAAAGTGAATCATAGTAGGGAGGCACCTGTGGCTCAAAGGAGAAGGGTGCTGATCCCATATACCCGGAGGTGGTGGATTCAAACCCAGCCCTGGGCAAAAACTGCACCCCCCCCAAAAAAGTAAATCATAGTAATACAAGCTTTATTTTAATTTTCCTTTCACCAATTCTGTTCATGATTTAGGTTAGGCGTCCTCAAAAGTTCGAGGACCCCTGATTTAGATGTTGTATGATGGATATAATGCTGTATGTCATCAGTTACATCTTTAATGGTAGAAGAATATCTTAAAAACTCTTATGTTAAGCATTATTATTTTTATTTTGAAAATTATTTCAGGTACTTGTCGTGGGCCTTAGACACAAATCAGGAAGAACGAGACAAGGGTAAAACAGTGGAAGTGGGTCGTGCCTATTTTGAGACTGAGAAGAAGCACTTCACAATTTTAGATGCCCCTGGCCACAAGAGTTTTGTCCCAAATATGATTGGTGGTGCCTCTCAAGCTGATTTGGCTGTGCTGGTAAGAAGGACATTTCCACTCCATCTGTGTACTTGTTAGTAGTCTAAGTTATATATTTAGTATTTGAATTTGCCTTCTAAAAGATAGAATTTAGGTTGACGTGAACTGTATTGATGTACACAGTCACAATTTGCATCTCTGTCTCAACCTGCTCACAAAGTCGTCATAATTTTATAGATTTACTTCTGAAAATATTTTCTGTCTCATTGCTGTTATAGTATCTATAACTGTGTTAGAACTTAGTGTTTATAAATGCCAAGCCCACTGATAGGCACTGTAAGTAAGAAATGATAAGAAATTATCTGTTTCGGGTAGATGGAGACCCTGGTGTATAACCCAGCAGTCGGCTTTCCTGAGCCCTCCAGTAGCTGATGACTGCCCAGCTAAGAGCCACTGCAGGCTAAAGAAGCAGCTCCAGTGTAGAACATGCTTGTCTTAGAATGGAGGGAACAAAAAATTGTTAGAGGCACATGATAGCTCTCAGAATTTCTGCTGGGAGTTTCACAAGTCCCTTCTGTTCACATTTTGGTTTTATTTTATTAGTCAAAGCACATCATATTGTTAATCCTGATGTCTGTGGGGACAAGAATGATATTCTGTTCATAAGGAGAGGCACCAAGGGTGGTGCCTGTGGCTCAGTGAGTAGGACGCAGGCCCCATATACTGAGGGTGGAGGGTTTGAAACTAGCCCTGGCCAAACTACAACAAAATAATAGCTGGGCATTGTGGCAGGCGTAGTCTTAGCTACATGGGAAGCTGAGGTAAGAGAATCACCTAAGTCCAGGATTTGGAGGTTGCTGTGAGCTGTGATGTCACAGCACTCTACCGAGGGCAACAAAGTGAAACTCTCTCTTAAAAAAAAAAAAGAGGCACCAGGGAAGGGTACTTAGGCAGGGGAAATGGATGTTTTTGAATAAATAATGCAATAAAAATTGAAAAACCATCTGTTTCTTAAGGCCTTCAGTCATTTTGAGATTTTGATGATTTACTAGCACTAGATCACATAAACTTTTTTCTTTGTAGTTAAAATGCCTGGGAAACACTTGAATTATACAAGCATACTAGATTTTGGGATGGGGGGGGGGTTGGAAGAAACATTCCAACATCGTAAGCCACCTTAGTCATTGTTTGATTTGTGCATTCAAAAGCATGTATAGGCATTGGGCTATTATAGTACATTGTAACTTGTTTTTCTGTTTTCTTGCAAAAATCTTGTGTTATATCTGAAAGGAAAGATGTTGTACTGCTGGAAGGATAAGCCTAATGTGGAAGAGTAAACTGTATCATTGCTTCGAATTAGGTAATCTCAGCCAGGAAAGGAGAGTTTGAAACTGGATTTGAAAAAGGAGGACAGACAAGAGAACATGCAATGTTGGCAAAGACAGCAGGTGTAAAACACTTAATTGTGCTTATTAATAAGATGGACGATCCCACAGTAAATTGGAGCAATGAGAGGTAAGCTTATATATTTTACTGTTGTTTTAAAGACATGTTAGTGGAATTAATGATCGTGTTATTGTTTGCCTTTCTCTGTAAGGCAGCGGTTCTCAGCCTGTGGGTTGCAGCAACCCACAGGAACTGTATTAAAGGGCTGCAGCATTAGGAAGGTTGAGAACCACTGCTCTAAGGCTTTTTAAAACCTTAATTTGTTTACTGATTGTTCATTTATAATTATTTATAAATATTTATAGATATGAAGAATGTAAAGAGAAACTAGTGCCATTTTTGAAAAAAGTTGGCTTCAATCCCAAAAAGGACATTCATTTTATGCCCTGCTCAGGACTGACTGGAGCAAATCTTAAAGAGCAATCAGATTTCTGTCCTTGGTACATGTAAGTAACCTTTTTTTTCCTTAGTAAAAAATGTGTATCTTCCCTTTTTAAGTAATTTAAGAAAACATTGACCGTAACCTTGGCTTTAAAAATACCAAGAAATTTGTCCATTTAAGTTGTCTTTTTGTTATTAAATGGTAAGAGTTCTTTTTGTACAAAATATAAGCCCCTTATCAGAGACATACTTTCTTTCATTCTATGGGTTGCCTTTTTCACTGTTTATTTTTTTGAGACAGAGTCTCACTTTGTTGCCCTTGGTAGAGTGCTGTGGTGCCATAGCTCACAGCAACCTCAAACTCCTGGGCTCAAGCGATCCACTTGCCTCAGCCTCCCAAGCTGGTTTTATAGGCTCCCACCACAGCACTGCCTGTGTTTTAGAGACAGCATCTCGCTCTTGCTCAGGCTGGTCTCAAACTCCTGAGCTCAAGCAATACACCTACTTCGGCCTCCCAGAGTGCTGGCATTACAGGCATGAGCCACTGCACCCTATCACCCCCC